GTGGAGAAAGCCTGGTCAAACGGCTGTGAGGAAGAGGACCGCACCATCGAATGCGCCGTGTGCTTGAGGGCACACCTACCAAAGACCAGTGTAAACAGACAAGACGTCACCGGGCGTCACCGAGCATCGTGCCAACTCGTCATCTAGCAGTGGAGAGAGAGCGCAAGAGCAGCACGACTCGGACGTCACAAGCAGAGACACGCAAGAGAGGCTCGCGGCGGCCACGCCCAACCCAGAGAAAACTTCTGGCCGCTGTTTGTATCCTCCTACACCACACAAGCTAACGACACAATTAATATTACGAGGGGACAACGCACACACAGCCCGCACACGAATAAGACTTAAAAAAAATATATTGTCTTTGCGTTTCAAAAAGGGTTGTCATTTCGAGGTGGTGCGTTCAATATCAACTGATCGTGCAAAGCAGTTGCTGCCGTCGAGTTACATAAAAAAAATTGTTTAGTCATTCATATTAGGTAATCGCATAATATCGTAAATGCATAAGAGTTTATTCATTAATTTTAGTCAAATGCATAGTCTCGCAAATGCATAAGAGTTTATTCATTCATTTTAGTCAAATGCATAATCTCGTAATTGCATAAGAATTTTAGTTATTCATATTAATCGAATGCATAATATCGCAAATGCATAAGAGTTTGGTTATTCATGAATTATTGACGCATGTTTGACCTGCATGATAGAATATCACATGCTTGTTAGAATAAAATTGCTTAACACCAACTGTTCGAGTGCTTCTTTCCAAGTCCATGCAAAACTATCTTATTCATAAGAGCTGTTGCCTGTGATGAGATCTGAAACTGGTGACCTAAAAATAACAAACACACTAAGATAATCGGCAAATGTTTAATCGATGATAATCGTGTTATCCTGATTGATATAACTCTGGATAAACGAAGCTGAGCCTAATTATCACAACTGCCCACATTAACATAATCGCAAGCATCCGCATAAATTACTACGATTATTACTACGATTATCATAATTTATGCATATAATTACATGCATTATCATAGTTTATGCATGTTAATACACATACTATCATAATTAATGCGATTTGCGCATTTTTCGGAAAATTATTAATTTTTATTATTTTTATCAAAAATTTCATAACCCAACACATACAAGATGATGGGGGCTCGTCCGGGATCTCTCACAGACAGTGTTTTGCATGGATGATGGAATGAACCACTACGTGTTAACCAGAATATCGGGATCGAACATTGCATGGTGATTGTAAACGGGCGTAAAACAAAAAAAAACGCCCTCTGAGGTTAAAATCCAGAATAGCAAGTTGAAACAAAGACAGTGGAATTTAGATAAATCATATCGAACCGATTGTATCCTGTGATAAATGGTGTTAGAGGTACGCACTCTGAATCGGAAAATAACAGAATAGATCGAGCAAAAACTGACCACACTCTGTGAGATAACTGTTTTATATGCACTCTGAAAGGAAATGTCAAAGTAACTCTTGCCATACTTAAGATGCTAGGATTAAGAATAATATTTGAATGGGTTACGGGATACTGGGAACTCGTATTGAAACATACCGACCGATCTGTTACAAAGCAGTACAGTCAGAGAGACATATGGGAAGGGAGCTGTATCGATAACACGAACACACCTCGGGGGAAACGAATTGACTGGATAAAATGTAACGAAGGCGAACACGATGCAAAAACTGCAGAGAAGGCAGGACAGGACTCATGCCTTCTCACACAGGCATACAGACAGGGATTGTGGAATGAGGAAAAATTCGGAAAGGAAACAGGAGAGAAATCGTCTCTAATAAACGAGGAGAAATGTCCTCACACCCTCGAGAGGGATGAGAAATCAGTGCTCGCGACACCAGCGAAACTCACAGATGTTGATCCACAGAATAAATATGGAAGTAACATTAAATCACACTCTTGGGTACGTGAACAGAGTCCAGGGACTAATCGCACAAAAATTATGGATATCGAACAAAAAATCCTTGACAAAGGGAAACCCTCACAATTCGAGAGAAGGGAGGGAGAGATACATATGCAAACAAAAACATGTGAGACTGACAACTTCACAGATAGAGGGAGGAAAATGTTAAAGTAAAGTCGACAGGACATGCTCCACTAAGGGCAGAGGCAAAAACTGAAGGGAAATGGCAACACGAGCGACACGGCACTGGGCGCGCACACAGAAAATGCACACCGCTTAATCACGCCCGACACAGTACAGATCAAAGTGACAGATTGCCTGATGATAACTTGTTTGATAATGACGCTGTCGGCAATCAACTTTCGGAATACCTATTCACCAGTAAAACCCTTAAATTGATGGACAAGGCTCTAGTTAGAATTCCCGATTTTGATCCACACAATAAGGTTATGGATATCCACACACATATCGCAACAGTAGAAGAGGAGGCAATGATTAGAGGGCTGAGGAGACGGGATGAAAAAGCGAGTTTGTTGAAACGGAGCTTACATAAAGAATCTATCCCATGGGTAAAGTCACTGCCACACAAGGTTAGAAATGATTTTAAACAACTGAGCCTGGCAGTGATTCGGAAGTTTGGAGAATATTCGACACTCACTGAGGGGTTTTATGCTGTAAAATCGATGACTCAGGGCATGGACCAAGACCCACGTGACTACCTTTTACAATTTAAAAGAGCGTATTACGCAGGCGATGTGAAACAATACCACGAAGGAGATAAAATGTTCAAAATTATGTTTTTTGAATCCTTGAGCCCAGAGATTACAGAAAGGGTGAGAATGGTTTTGAATCCAGAAACCGCATCCTTACGCCGCATAGAGAGCAAGGCGTACATGGCATGGTTATACAGAGCTAAGAGTCATAATTCGGATCCAGAACCCAGGGAGAGGGATAAGGAACCCAGCCTCTCAGAGAGAAATAAAAATCACCGAGCAGTCCCACGATGCAGGGAGGAGCAAAAACGCACGCACCCGTGGCAAAATAAACCAGAGAGAGGTTGGCACGAGAATGAGAGCGGCACAAAGCCGAACATTCAGGAGAATCACAGAATGTGGAGGCCAAGGGCAGAATCATATCAACACCCCATGCCCCGACACACGCAAGGTCAAAATTACCCACAAAGATGGCGAAGTAACGATCCAGAAAAATTTGGCACCCAAATGGGAGAACACTGGGCCAAAAATGTACGAGAATCGCAGGAGGGAGAGGTTCAGAGCAGAACCATATCAACACCCCATGCCCCGACATGCGCAAGGTCAAGATTACCCACAGGGATGGCGAAGTAACAATCCAGGAAAAATTGGCACCCAAATGGGAGTAACACTGGGCCAAAATGTACGAAAATCGCAGGATGGAGGTCAAAAACAATCAGTCCATTACGACCAATTCCTCCACCGGCTATACAGGAGGGAATAGAGGAATAACACAGAATGCGGTCCAAATACATGATAAACAACCCACAGTGAGCGCGAGCGAGCGGCCAACACACGCCCCACCCGCCGAGGTTTTGTTAAACCCTGAGCTCAATGGGAAATACAAGCAGGCTGCAAGTGACAGGGCGGGCAAAAACACGGACAGTGCTCCCGTAAATGACGCGCGGATCGAATACAAGGACAGGGTTGCATTGAAGTGTGATCGGACAAAAAAACAGACAGCAGAGACAAAAACAGACAGCAGGGACACGCCCTGAGGAGTGCAGGCGCGAGCCTTTGAATGAAAATATCCAAGGGAAACCAAAATTTATGCGGATCGGA